ACATTTAGAAAATTAAATATTTTTATTAAGTGAAATTTTTCTTAACTTCTATTTGAAATCTTCTTTTTCTCTGCATGAAAAATATTTCTCTATAACTGACGCATTAAGTTTCAGTGTCTTATGGTAAACAAATCATTTTTTTTTTGTTATCCTTGGAATCAATTTAAATACATGATGCTGCTCATATAACGATAAACTGTGATAAATAGATCAACTTTAAAATGAACCGGAACATATTTACAACGTTCTGCTCTAGCAGAATTTTTTTTTTACTATCATGCTTCTTCTTTTCAATAATAAATAGTCCTCTGATAATCTCGTCGAACTATTCCAATTGATTGTCTTTTCAACAGAATAACGATGACAGATAATAATTGCAACAATATGTAAAAAAGAAATTCGACTCAACTATCAAAAATGATGTTTTATTTATTCATGTTTTGCGAGGAAATGATTTACAATTGAAGAGTCTAAATTCATTAGCCATTTTGTAAATATTATAAAATGATTCCTATGCATAAACTGTTCAAAAATTACTTCCATAATCTTTCTCTCAAGTATTTTTTTCATATATACTTTTACGAAAGTTCTTCAGTAAAATGTATACGAGAAAATGATTGAATATCTCGATTCATTGTAAATGCGAACATTCCATAGTTTTCGTCAATGTTTCTAATGAAAAGTATATACACAATAGAAGTAGTTTGTACACTATACAGTTTGTAAATAATTAAAATTTTGAATTTATTTTTTACTCAAATATTCACGAGAACCATGAATACAATATGATCTATTCTATGATGTATTACATCTTTTCTTGAATACTATCATTTTGTCGTTTTTTTTCTATTATTCACATTTAAACCTGTTCACTGATGCTATTTATGGCATAGTTGACGAGCAAAACTGAAAACTACAACAGATTCAATTTTGTTTTCTCTTTCCCAATACTGAGGGGCATAATTATCCAATGACAATAATAGTTTTAGTTTTGATTTCGTTGTAATTATCATAGATCTGAAAAAAAAAGAAAAACAATAATATAATTTACCTCCCTAAATGATCACATAGAAAAATCGATCTCAAACGTGCATTTTATTTATAGAAAAATAGCATGTACTATGTATTTTATCTTCGATTTTGTTTCGAAATATTTCTTTTATAAAGAATGTTTAAACTACAGAAAAAAATCGTTACAAAAATTTTAATAATTCATTTTGTTGTATGAATATCATGTAGCAGAGATAGATACGAAAGAAAGTATCATTTAAAACAACACTTGGAAATGAGCAGGAGCAAAATAGGAGCAGATCATAAAACTAATACGTAAAAGTGTAGAATTTTTTTTCTTCTTCTATCCGTTATGGGAATGATGTGGAAGAAATTTCCACCTTTTTTTTTTAAGTAAAATCAATACTATAAATAAGAAGAGACAAGAAATTTTTTTTTTTGAACGGATAGGAAATGTTTTTGATTTCATCATCGATTAGAACTATTTTTCTCATTCGTATCAAGATAAATAAATTAGACATATATTTAATCGGAGATTCTCCTTTGCCTGATAAATTTTTTCAATCGCAGTTTTGACTATAAAATAATCATAACGTGTAATGAAATAATTCTGAATATCGGAGTCCTTTGAAGGAAATCAATTACTTTCAAATTTTAACAATAGTAATGTTCAACAACGAACAATATACAATTTAATCTAGTTCTTCCTTGTACTGTCGAGTGTAGAACCAAATTTCTCTTGCATTATTTCTCTTTCGACTTAGTTAATAGAATACAGACAAGTCAGAAAGCGTCTTTCGCTATCTTTTTCTTTTTTTTTCATAATGAAACTTCAATATACATTTTATTTTCGGTGTTGTTTAGAAGTATTAGTGTGTTATAGATAATATTGAAAACTGAGCACATTAAAATAGAATGTTTGCGGGCAAAATATTAGTATGGTACAACACGAACAGGAAAAGACTCTCACCTGTGTGAAAAGTGTGGGTCTTTGGAGAAGTACAATCCACACCCACATCCCAATCTTCATCCATTCGCATGTGCGGAAGGGACGACTCTGTACTTAATGTATGAAGATTCATCCATTGTGTCATGATTTTGTTAATTGTTATTCTGTTGATTATATTTCTTGTTATACATATCCGACATGTGGTCATTTAAGTAGCTCATAATTAACATTTTTACTATTTTGTATTCTCTTCCTTTATAATTAATGATGCTAAAAGTTTTCTGCTAGATCTTTGAAAATATGTAGAACATTTGGCATTTCTTCTGTTTTCATTAAATTTTTAAGAAAATATATAATTTAGACTTTTTAACTTTCAAATTAAATTTTCTAAAAAAGACGCCTGTTATTTCATAATCAAAGAGAACATCGCCTAGCTGCTTATGTTTCATTTGTTAAACAATCTGAAGAATAGCGTCTTCACTTTTCCAATTAGTGTCTATGTACATGATTTTTCAGAAAAAAAAACAAGAATAATTGTTTGCATTTGAGGTATCCTTTACATGAGTACCAAGGTGAAAATGTAATAGTCAATGAATGGAGGTATAGACAATAAGCAGTGAGTTTTTCCTAAATCTTTTTCTGATAAAATGCGGCAGACTTATTTAAATATAGTAATGCACTTTCAGTTGATATAAAACTCCAGCTTCTACATAGCATACCTTGAAGCAGTAGAAAATTCAGACAACAAAGATTTTGATGCGATTCTGTTCATTTTAAGGAGGAAGGATGAAGATAACATAAGTTTGTTTTATGTGAAAAAAAGTTGCTCACAAAATAATTTTGATAAAAAAAAATGTATCTCATTTTCACCTAATAGTTTGAATTTCTTATGCACAATGAGCGTTTTTCGTTAGAAATAACATTTCAATCAGTTTTGTGCATAAAAAAAAGTAGAAAAAAACATACAAAATCGACTAAAAGTCGATACTTTTGTTCAAAAAAACGTCAAAATTCTGTATATCCGTCTGCTTGGGTGCGCGCTAGCCGTAAAACACTACATATTTTGGATCATCTTTAAATGATTATGCAACACCAAGAAATATACCTATATATTAAAAAATTTCAGTGAAAATAGATGAGCTGTTTATAAATTATTTGAAATACAATTTACAAAAAGTCAGACTAAAAGGCGAATGATATTCGTTTTCCTTCAATTTTTATCCAAACAGAGAAAATTCAAAACTAAGGCTTGTCTATACGAAATACAATAATATTTCAAGGTCTACAAAAAAAGTACTATAATTTTTGTATATTGTAAGTCACTCTGAAAAACTATTCCCTCCTTGTCGAGTTGTGATTGAATCGAAGTAAAGGAGAGAGAGAGCTTTTACTTTCTGATAAGTCTAGAACTACAGCATTGTTACTTGAAAGATGTTATATCACAATAAGAATCGTAAGATCTCCTTCTCAAATTCTAATACTAAACTAGAACATGGAAATCTCCTTAGAATTTCATGTTAAGCAGTTTTCTCTTCCACGACATCGAAAGCATTTCCTTACGATGTGCTTTTTTTTTAAAGACTACGCTACAGAAATACTGTCTCATTTATAGTAAAATATTCCAGAGAAGTTGTCCTGGCTATTGATTAGGATCGACATTTGTGTACTTAACAGAGATGAGCAACTACGCTCTGTCCTTCTCCAACTCCAATTTAACTTCAATTCGAGTCGGATTTTACAAAGCTGAACTTCTACCAAAACACTCTTAAATACACATAAGTTTTTGAACATAATTAAATCTACGATTGATATAAATTAGTGGCATATTAATTTATTGCTTTATAAACGTTTTCATAAAATTCAGAGATAGGCACCTCCATTCTGTCCTGTTCCTACTCCATTTTCACTCTGATGAGAAAAAGCATCAACTTTGGAGTTGGAATTGCCCATCTCTGATATCAATCATTTTAAAATACTTACTCTTCAGATCCTCCTGAACATATCCATAACATGCGAGCTTACAGAAAACTTCTCAGAACAAGTACTACATAAGGATTATAGCATGATCCTCATAGAAGATGCTCATTATTTTTAGATTTTCAAAGCCCATAAAATCCATAGATCCCAATGTTTGTCACTGGAGAACTCCGTTCGGATTGGCATCCATCTTTTCAGTATTTTCAAAAGTAGAAGCCCTCTCAGATTACATAGATTCGCGTGGAATCCTCTCAACTTTGTTCAATTTCGTCTGTATCCAAGCCTTCTCATGATCTTACTCAGAGTACATCACAGTTGTTCTTCGAACAGCTTGACATAACTTACCAAAAGCCTATGCAAATACTTAGGAGATTCTTCGGCAGATCTACATTCATCATACAGAAAAATCATGTATCCGTAAGGTTTCCTAAAAAACATAGGGATTAAGTTTGATATTTTATTGTTCGACGATTCGATATTCTTCTCACAAGATACAGATAGAATCTTCTCTGATGTTCATATAAATGATCATTCTGCCAAAAAGATTCTGAATTCTTTCAATTCTGAATAAAATTCTCAGATCCTTATGTTGCTCTATCAAAAACTTACATAGAATTAGTATTACTCTTTCTTGGAGAACCTCCTTACAGCAATCTCCAGGTGTTATTTTTATGATCAAAAAGATCTTGGCAAAAACTAGAAGTAACATAGATGTAAGAATCCTTACCAAATCCTTTTTTCTCATAGGAAACTAAGAAAAGGCTTCTGAATTTTTATCTGTGAAACAAGCATTCTCAAAGATGAATGTCATATTTCTAGCGCTTGCTCCCACGAGAGACGAGCTCCCTTCAATAACGACGATTTCTTTTCTTTTTCGTTCATTGTAGTAATTCTCAATATTCCAGCCAATGCCCGATGGAAACAGAATGGGGTCACCGTTGCTGGAGGTCATGGAAGCGGCAATGCCACCAATCAACTAGACTGGCCTCATGGTCTCTTCGTTGACGATGATCAAACGACAGTCATCGCTGACTACTGGAATCATCGTATCATCCAATGGAAGATGGGTGATACGAATGGACAAGTAGCAGCTGGTGGTAATGGCCAAGGAAATCGATTGGATCAATTGTATCATCCAACCGATGTGTTGATCGACAAAGAGACGGATAGTCTCATTATTTGTGATTGGGAGAATCGACGAGTCGTACGATGGCCTCGTCATAGTGGCACAATTCAAGGAGAAATCCTCATCAACAACATCGCTTGTGCAGGATTGGCCATGGATGATCAGAGATATCTCTACATCTCTGATAACGAAAAAGATGAAGTAAGACGATATCAAATAGGAGACAAGAATGGAACTCTTGTGGCTGGTGGCAATGGCGGAGGTGATGGTCTCAATCAACTCAACTTTCCGACCTACATCTTTGTCGATCAACAACAGACTGTCTACGTGTCAGATTGGAACAATCATCGTGTAATGAAATGGAATAAAGGTGCAAAAGAAGAAATTGTCGTCGCTGGAGGTCAAGGAGAAGGGAATGCTCTGACACAGTTGTATCATCCTCAAGGACTATTCGTCGATACATTGGGTACCATCTATGTGGCAGACTCGAATAATCATCGAGTGATGCGTTGGCCTAAAGGAGCGAAACAGGGCACTGTCATTGTGGGTGGAAATGGTCAAGGAAAAGAAGCAAATCAGTTTCAGTATCTCGGGGGTTTGTCCTTCGATCGACATGGCAATCTCTATGTCGTCGATTATGGGAATTCTCGTGTTCAACGCTTTTCAATCGAATAGACTCATTACGATGGATTATTTTTTTTTGCGTTCCTTTCGTTTCAAATAAATCGCATTGAATTGATGAAATGAATGTCTATTCTATTCGCGCGCACGACCAGGAACTATCCTGGTGGAGCCGTGGCGAGCGTAACGCTCATGCACGCACAGGACAGACTCATATCATTCAGTCTGAATAAGCCTGGTCGTGTGCTGCGGATACCAAGACGATTCCTAGCCGGGTTTTTAGGGCCTACCCGGAAGGTCTGTAACTAATGGGGACCTAAACTCAATGGACATAACTCATCCCTTCCCCCTACTAACACTTTTCTCAGTCACCCTATCCCTCTCCTCAATCTCAATACTATACTATCTAACCTCATCCCCCTCTCCTCATCTAAAAGAAAACATTACTCACCCTGTTTTGATGTTGAACGATGTTGGTTACTACGTGATGATATTGAGAACTAGAAAGAAAAAGAAAAAAAATTAATTTAATGTTATATAATGAAAAAAAAGAATGAGTTAACTTACCTCACTGTTATCTTGTCATAGTTGAAAATATTCATCGAACCTAGGACAAAAGAAAAAAATAAATTAAAAAAATTATAGGAGGTCATACTTCACCATCCTGATAATCGTTAAATAAAAAAGAAAAATTAAAACTGATACCTACATTTTTTTTATTGTATGGCTTGATCACGTAGGTAAAGTTAGCAGCGGATTCGAGTTTTTTGGGGAAATATTCGCCTACAGACTTGTGCCAAAAAAGATGTTGACTGTGCCAGATAGAGCATCGAATGTACTATAGAATTCATATCTTTCAAAAAAATTTATCGTAACAAAATGGCCAAAAATTAAAAAGGACTACTTTTCAAACACTGTTTTTAGCGAAAAAAACCAGCATTTCGGCCTAATATTCGTTTCAATATCTGCGCCAGTTTCAGAAAACAACTGTGCCAGATAAAACTCGAAGAGATCTATCAATTGATACCAAATTCAACCTAGTTCATCATCGAAATGGGTCTTCAGTTGTCCCGAGATCAGTTAGCAGCAGATTCGGACTGATATTATGAGTAAATATTGAGACAGAGAGTTGTGCCAATTAAGAAAACACTTGTGCCAAATCGATCTCATCGAGATCTATCGACTGATATCAAATTTAACCTAGTTTATCATCAACATGAGTCTCTAGCTCAACGAAAGCCGGTCAGGCAGGACATCCACGCTCGGATTATGAAAAAATATTGAGACAGAGAGTTGTGCCAATTAAGAAGCACTTGTGCCAGATAGTTCTTATTGAGATCTATCGATTGATATCAAACTCAACCTAGTTCATTATCAACATGAGTTCCTAGCTCAACAAAAGCCTGTCAGGTAGCAGATTTGAGCTGGTATTATGAGTAAATATTGAGACACAGAGTTGTGCGGGTGTGAGTGTGGGTGTGCCTGTTCTATCTTTTGAACAGTCGGATCCACACCCTTTACTTGTGAACAACGAATGTATGAAAAAGAAATACTCAAGATTACGTTATCACTCGAATGTTAGTTTCAACAGATAAATTAAACATCATGAACAATTATTTAATTTGTAATATTCATGGGCTGGACTGTACCGAAAAACAAGCCGAACGTGGCATACAATGTCCTAACGCACCGACTTTCATTGACAAGGTGCCAACTATTATACTCAACTCTCTTTTCACACCATCGTTCCTCCCGTTCGTATAAGTCTCGACACGATTATTTAATCAAACATAAACAACGTTAGACTTGATATTAAACAATTGATCTCATCGAGATCGATTTGGCACAAGTGTTTTCTTAATTGGCACAACTCTCTGTCTCAATATTTACTCATAATATCAGTCCGAATCTGCTGCTAACTGATCTCGGGACAACTGAAGACCCATTTCGATGATGAACTAGGTTGAATTTGGTATCAATTGATAGATCTCTTCGAGTTTTATCTGGCACAGTTGTTTTCTGAAACTGGCGCAGATATTGAAACGAATATTAGGCCGAAATGCTGGTTTTTTTCGCTAAAAACAGTGTTTGAAAAGTAGTCCTTTTTAATTTTTGGCCATTTTGTTACGATAAATTTTTTTGAAAGATATGAATTCTATAGTACATTCGATGCTCTATCTGGCACAGTCAACATCTTTTTTGGCACAAGTCTGTAGGCGAATATTTCCCCAAAAAACTCGAATCCGCTGCTAACTTTACCTACGTGGCTTGATCTTGATTTGATTAATTTTGTATCATCGAGGCCAATCTAAAACAGAAAAAGAAAAATGATTATTATTTGATTCAAATATTTGAAAGATTTTACATAGAAAAACATTCGTATATATACCTTGAAAAATCATTTTTTTCTCTCGTCGAAAATGAATTAAAAGTTGTTTTCAAAAAGGTTAATTGATATACATATTTAATTGTACATGTTGATCATTGATCGTCAATGATAACAACATGAACAATGATTTATGGACGAGAGAAGGACAAAGAATAAAAAAATAAAATTCTTCTCTTCACATATATTTCTTTTATCTTTCCTTTCTCTCTTATTAACATTAACATATATAATGATTTATTTATGAATTTTTTTAGATTGTATCTCATTTGGAATGAAAATGAAATTGTTTTGTTTATATTTATTAATGATACGCAATAACAACATTTATGTATAATTATTTTTTATTCTTTTATTTGTTGACAAGTAACGCGACGTAAACGTCGCGAACCCTCTACTGAAAGGGTTTGACTCCTTTGAACAACAAGATGGAAAAACTAATGCACTCATGTACACATGACGAAAACAATAAAAGCAATAGTCGACGGTTATGTATACATGAGTTATCAAGTCAGTGTCGAATATAAAATCTACTGATGCACCTTGAAGAAAATTCACTTGGAAAAGTTGTCATTAAAAATTAATCTCAGAAGAATAGCGGTTCGTTATTATTTTGGTAGAATATAAATATATTTCTTATCTCGTCATGTAAAAAAGCAGACTTGTGCCTTTTATATCTTTTATACTCGTATGATCTGAGCATATACGATAACTGAGGCGAATGAATACTTACTTCACAGAAACGTAAACTGAAAATTCCTTAATCGACACATCAAAAATCTTTTTTATTAGCAAATAAAACTCATCCACTCAACAATTTTCTTTTCGAACAGTAACAGTTATTCTTCTAATTAATGTTCATTATTAGAACTACGAAAACGGTATGGTTTACAATCCAAAAAAGAACTGCAAATGCTGCAAAAATGGTGCATTTATAGCAGTATATAGTGTAAAGACAACCCATTTTCGGCCCGTACTAAACCGTGTTATTTGACAAAAAATAAGGATCGTACATTGTCCAAATACGATGCGTTGCAATATGTGTAGACGGGCCGCATTGACAACATTTTCGCAGTGTAAATCATCCCAAACATGTGAAGAATCAGTGGCCTGCCTACTGGCCTTGCACTTATAATGCAATCGTGTTCTACGATTATCTGAGTTTTTTTTTGATTTTTATAAAAAATCGCGATTATTATAATCTAAATGAACAGAGTGATTAATGTATAAACAAAACCTAATTCATATTGAAATGGAAAGTATACATGGATAGACAGATGAATAGATGTGATGTCGCTCGAAACAATTGATTGTTATAAAATAATAGTACTCTAGTTTTGTTGAATATTCTATAGATCGTGATTTTTCACAGCGCTGTAGGTCTTACAAATCAATATAATTGATTTTAGAACTTGAAGATGCAGCATATTCACAAGTAAGGTTCATCGACATTGAAAGTCGATTCACTGGGCCCTCGACTGACGGAATGATGATACAGATGTCCTTCTGTTTTTTAATGAAAATGAATTCTGTTCAATGATGAGTTTAGGACAAATTATTGATATTTGCAAAATGTTGTATATTACATACTAAAGATATATTCAAACACTTGACATAAAATATTGCAAGATGCCAATGTATATGATAAAGCATATGAGTTGGTTGATTCTAAGGACTAGCAATGGTTATGTATCCCATAGCACTGGTCATTTCTAATAAGGATCTAGCTAGTGGTGACACAGAGATGCTCATTCCGCAGATAAGAATGATCAACTGTGCCATAGAAATGGTTGATTGCACCATAGAAACTGAGTTGAGCCACAAGAATGGTCAATTATGCCAAAATAAATGGTCAGTTTTACCACGACTCACGATACTTTGCACTATGGCAACAGTCACTTGTACCACGACTCTGGTACTTTGTACCTAGACAACATCACTTGTACCACGATTATGGCACTTTGTATCACAAGAATGCTCATTTGTACCACGAAAATGGCTATTTGCGCCATAAAAATGGTCATTTGCGCCATAAAAATGGTCATTTGTCCCATAGAAATGGTCATTTGTGCCAAGCGCTTGTTACAGACAGACAGACAAACAAACAAACATAGGTGAATTACGGTTTCTAGACCCTAGCTTTTCAGTCTAGGGAATAGAAAATAAAAAGTTCGTAGATTAGAAACCAAGTTAGCGGCATGATGCGACATCTATTGACACTAAAGGTATGCAGGTGACATTATTGACACTTTGATCGTTATTTTTCGCTTATTTTTTATTGGCGCAAAAAAATTGTTTTTATGATCGAGAAAAAAAAATATAAATCAATATTTGACATATCTAATGAAAAAAATTGTAATATTATTATTTTAGTATTCTATATTGAACAGCACTTCTATGAATATGGCTCA